GAACGGAATGGTGTTATTTACCTCCATCTCGCATGTGAACTGCAAGTGGGGATTATATTCATTGAAACAGAAAGGGTGTGAGTAATATTTATGCTCCAAGCTTTACTTAAATAATTTTTTTAATCAACAAATGAGTAATTGGATTTTCTCGCACTAACATGGTGAATTTAATTTATTATAGATTATATTATATATATATATATATATATATATATATATATATATATATATATATATATATATATATATATATATATATGTATATATATATATATATACATATATGATTTATTATAGATTAGTGCTATTATTATAATGATCTATTATAGTTTGCTATTTCCTGACCCTGAATATTTAAATAGAAACTTTTTTATACCTGGGTTTTCAGTCTGTTGTAAATAAAACTACTTAACTACTGCTTAAATGTTTCGGCAATTTGCCATTTTCAATAAGCACTTTATTTTATAAACATTACATTATTGGCGATGTCAAACGAAAGAGGCGGCACGGTGCGGTACAAATTTTAACTAGTGCACGTAGGATAACAAAACATTTTGTATTTAGTTATATAGTTATAAACATTTTAAATATTATTAAATAACGCACAATAAGGTAACAAAGTGTTAAAAAGTAAATTTAAACAGTATTGTTCTGGACGGCAATGCAGTAATTATCGATCGGAAGGAATAACTATGCACTTTTTTCCTCGTACCAAAAATCTACTAGATCGTTGGGCACAGGAATTGAAAATTGCGAAATCCATATCAAGTGATATGATGGTGTGTTCACGACATTTTTTATCAACAGATAAAAACATTGCAACATTTATTATATATAATGTGCCTACCTAACCTAATCAAATATGTACAGTAATATAGATCTTAATTAAAATTTCTATTACGACTGAAGCAGGGAAAAAGAAACTTTCAAAGAAAGGTGTTATTCCCTCTCAATGCCTTCTTAAAGGAAATCACGAAAGAAAAATCAATGAGGAACTGGTGAATGCTAGACTAATGCGTAATAAAACACACGCACACTCCTCCCTGGTGGGCTTTACAAGTGCATTTTACCACCCACTCGTCTCTTAACACATCCACAGTGATTTCATGTGGGGCACCATTTAAATTAGTCGTTTGCAGACACAAAGCGACTAATTTGTTATTATATTTGCCACACAACACAACGTGGCCAGCCTTTTATGTATCTCCTATATATTTCAAAATATGGAGCAGACTAACCTCAATCTCTTTATTTGCCATTGCGTTAACAAAAAAATAAATGGAAGATAATAAATACGGATAATTTTTAGACACAACAATCATTCACCTACAAAGATTATGGTAGCTCTGTTTTGTTTTCCTACGTGCGTGATCAGCTGATCATCTGTCAAAGCGCCCCCTGTAGTTTGTTGACATCGCCAATACAATTATATTTCATGTTTACACTTTTTAAAAGTTTAACATGGATTAAAACATTGGTAAAATATATCTGACATTGACAGATGACATCTGGTAATTAATAAAGACTGCAATTAAACATATATTGGGCAAACACACCAATACCTGCATACAAAAGTTGTTGCACACAAACATAATTTATAGACCAATGGATTAAACATAACAGCCCTATTCTTTGTTTCAAGTTAAGAAAATAACATTACGCTTATGGAGATCAGTGTTGCCGAAACTCTCAGACACTCTCTTTTGCACGGATTTTGCACTCTCTCTTATTATCATTATGTAGTCAGAGAACGACATAAAATAGCTGACATACGCACATCGTATTATTTTAAGTTGTAATTGGTAATTAGATATACGCATTCCAAGCGGTCAATATTTTCTACTGATTTCTATGATTCATGGCATATCTATACTATAATTAAAATGAGATAAAATAAAATTATCTTTTGTAAATACTATTTATCTAATTAAAATCATTTTCCCTACTTTTCATCTCTTGTTTCGAATGGGCACTTTTGGTCAATTGCGTTAAAAAACATTAATTTAATTCATGTTTGTGGAAACAAAAATACAAATTTTACAACCCTAAATTGTGCTTGTGTGTGTCGTGGCAACGCCGCGTTGCTATCGTCCATAAGAAATACATGGCCCTATCTCCGCAATGGTATTTTCTAAACGTGGAATGTAGTATAGCCAAACATTATTGGAGATGATTCACATAAAAAAAGATCCAAATTCTCTCAATACTAAGAGTGACATCAAAGATCTTTCCAATATGTATCATAATTTAATAAATTGAGTTTAATATGTACCATGAGCTTATCATAAATATTAGTCTGTAGAAGTCCTATGAATAAGAAAAATATCTAAATAGATAAAAATGTAAGATGTAATTTCTCCTACCAAATCGACATGATAAACTACATGCAATATGTCCTATCTTGTCAGTTTGTATAATGCAACCAGAGAGTATGGAATGCCCATAGACTGTGAGATGTTTGTGAATGAAATAGAGTATTTCTGATAACTTTCACAAGCATTCATGTACATATTAAAGGTAATATGTAATTATAGCATCTAAAATAATATGATTCTAAACTAAAACGATAAAAACATAGAAAAAAGTACAGTTGTTAAAATTTCTTTTGGATAGGAGAATTTGCAGTAGCCTATTACAGATAGTATGTAATCATGTCTCAGATATCTTTCTGTATGCATGCAATGACTCACAACAACTTGTTTACAACTGTTTACAGTCATAAAACTCATAAGTGAAAAATATGAAATAATAGCACGAAAGTACATTGTTAGTATATATTTTTGCCCATTTGTACCAGTGAACAAAATATACTTCAAAAACAAATTGTACTGTTATAACTTCACAGTTTAAAAACTAAAAACTAGAGATGATAATATTATGTGCTATTGGTTTTCAGAAAACTAGAATAACTAACCCAAAGCATTGACATTTGTTTCCTGTATTATACATTATTTAGAGAATTCCAAAATGCCAGTAATTATTTATTCTGGCGAATGCTGTTATCAACATCGTGATAATGTACTAGCCAACACTTTACTATCAAGCACAATGTGTTGGTGTTCCAAAAATATCTTAGACCAGGTCACTCTCAAATATGAGTGTGATTTGGTACATAGTGTGATAGAAATAAGTTTTAAAAATATAGTAATCCATCTACCCAGTGACTAAGATACCATTACAGTTTAAATAAGAAAAAGAACTTAATATAAAGGCCATATAAACTATAAACATTATACTATATGTTTTTTATCTATTTTTCTATTCATCCTCCAACCACATGGGATATTCCTCAATCCAACCAGGAAGAAAAGTGTATGACCCAATGTTATGGAAATATAGGCGTTTATTTATAATAGCCTTTACACATAGATATATTTATATATATATATATATATATATATATATATATATATATATATATACATATATATATATATATATACATATATATATATATATATATATATATATATATATATATATATATATATATATATATATATTATATATATATATATAGACATAGATATATCTTTTTATTTCGTTTGTTCAAAAATATTTTTTAATTGTTGTATTTTGAAGTTTTAATTTTTTGTTCTATGTGTTTTATATTATCATGAGTAAGATATTATTTTTAATTGCGAATAACTATTTAATTTTATTTATATAAAAGGCATTAATGCTCAATTTTAATAAACAATACTAACTCCATAAGTTCGCATTAAATTAAATGCAATATCTCCTATGAGTCACATTATTTTAAGCAATACCTCCTATCTAGCTTATTAAAACTAAATTCAATTAATTACCAAATATTTTTCATAATAAATAAATGTTGTTTCTACACCCCTCATAAAATACAAAGGAACAAATTGAAAGATATTTAAACTTATAAAGTTTTTGTCTCTCCTGAAAAGTTGAAGGGTAAAGTCACATATGAGATATTACAAGGTCACTAAATAACTAGTGTTAGGACAGCTCTGGGAGAGATTGATAAATTGCATGTGAAAGAAGAATTGCACCAAGGCTCAGTGCTTATTAATTTATAGTCCTCATTAATTCTAGTTGTATGGTGGAAAATAATTATTCAAAACTATAGTGATGAAATACATTCTACTTAAAATATTAAAACTAGTCATACACATATAGCATGAAATAGCAAAAAACCATGTTAAGGTAAAGAATGGAAAGAAAAAATCTTATTTTACCTAGAATGATCATAGATCTCACCAGACCCTGAGCATTGAAAGTCCCAAATTCAAGAATGCTCTTTTTGTCATTTATTTAAGAGTTTGTTTTACTCCTTAACATGTGGTATTTTTAGTTTTTAAATAGTGTTTTCTATATTTTTACAGTTATATTAATGACACATAAAGGCTTACAATTAAATCAATTTTTAGAACTTCTAACTTATATTACATATTTTATTAACTGAAGACTTTGTATTGGTGGTTTTTCTACAGGCCCAATAAGAGTTTCTCAATATGGAATGACATTTTGTAGCAAGTTTAGGGCCAAAGTTCTCTATGAAGACTCCCTTAGAAGAAATTGAAAGAGCTTAATCAGTATTGTTTTTGGAATTTCATTTTCAAGAATACTAAAATTGTAAATAAGCCTAAGAGACTACATGCATTTATTGTTACTATATTAAAAACATAGGGCATGGCATTTAAATATAATGTAATGTATAAGGTAATAGTATCAATAATATGGTCAATACTCGACTGTAACTTTTGGGTTAATGACCTTATTCAATTAAGGAAAAGAAAAAAATGCCCATTCTTGGAGATGGAAATATATATCTATGGTGACGACACGGAATGTAGTACGTGGTGGAGGAAAGTGGTGGTGGTTTTTCGAAGAATGTGGGGATGAATATATCCTACCAGAATACACTATGGGCACCCCTTCCACAAAATTCTACATCACGGCGGCGAAGCTCCCTACCCCAATAACACCCACGACTCGCGAAATGGTTTGTTTGAGTACAAATAGCTTACCTTAATGTTACAATTAAATAATTTCCAAACACTTGCCTTGTGTTCCTTTATAATCTATACTATCTTAATTAGATTCACACTTTTTTGACTTCGTCATCAAACCAAACGTAAAATGGTTCATGACAGTTTCATGAGCAAGGCGTGCCAAGAAGTTTGCTTATGCGTAGAAAGTATTTTTAGCATCCGGTGTTTGAATTTAGGCGCCAAAGAAGATATATTAAAATTTCTGTAGTGATTTTGTGATATTGTTATGGTAGTTATATTTGTATCTAATATAATATATAATACCATATTATATTTTATGTTGTTCTTCAGAAGTTTTTATTTGTACTAAAAGGTAACTTTTTAATTAAACATATTAATAATATAATATAAATTTTATATAACAAAACATGGAATTGATTTGCATGTATCGCCAAATTTTTAGATTAACTTCTTACTTAAAAGATAATAATATAACAGTATCGTTTAAAAAAAACAACGATAATATAGTATCCACTATAGGTTCAGGTTTGTTTAAACTGAAATGTAATTCTTCACTTGTAATAAAAAATGTTTATTAATAATTGTTTTAACACAGAGTATTTCAGGATTAATATTTATTAGTATTAGCATTTAGTATTATTGTTTAAAGAGTATAATTAGAGGCCAATTCAATGTTTCCACATGTTAAATAATGTTTTTATTTAATAATACATATGTGCTTGCATACGTGTGTATAATGTGCGTACAGTATCCGTATATTATTGTAGATTGTAGCAAACTAGCAAACAGTATTTATTATTATTATTATCGTGACTGAAAAGATCAAGCCATCCAAAGCTATTAAAAAAGGCTATGTTTACATTATCAAGGTTATAAGAGGATTAAATATAGATATAATTAAAATAAAGATAAATGTAATAGATGAATTGTAATAAAGTAATAGTAACTACAGTGTACAGTATCTTATACGGGCTTTACACCAACAATAAATTCACGAAGAAATTCATGAATTTATTCATCAATTTCTGTGTCAATAAATTCGTGAATTTCTTGGACGTAAAAGTTTCGTTTCTTTGACTTCAAATAAATTTTTACATCAAGTGTCATTATTTCAGTAGTACCAATGGTTTTATTATTGGATGTTATTTATTGTTGTTTATTTGAATAAATATATATTTGGATTTGGAAATATAAGCAGAATCAGAAAACAATATCGTTTTAAAAAGAAAATAGTGATTAAGATTTTACAAAAAATATAGCTGAATTCGTGAATTCTGTAAAGAGTAAGAACTTGAACAAGAGGTAAAAATAAGTGGAAATTACATTATAATTAGTGAAAACTTTGTATTTTAGACATAGAAGATAATTTCAAATAACTTTAATAAGGACAACATAGATAAAGAAACAGAAAAAGTGGTAATTTGATTTTTTTATATGAAAGAACAAGAAAATCTAGCATTCAATACATACTAAAAATTAACTGTAGTTAGTATAAATGTTATTCATTGTGACTTTTAGAATGATGAAAGTCTTTATTTAAATACAATACCTGCCTCAACTAAGTAGAAGTAAAGAAGAGAGAAAGCTACAATACTTTTTATAATCTTTTAACCACTATTCATAATAAAATATATTCTCAAGAGATATTTACCTAATATAAATAAATACCTAGCTATGTTTATTGTTGAAAGAATATTGAGATGTGTACAATTCTAATCACAAAGAGATATTGTAGAGAAATGAATACTTAAAATAAATAAAACATGGAAATAACCAGTAATACTTTACCACTAGTTTGTGAGCTGATTCTTTACAATTTTAATGATTTGTCTTTATTACAATTTGCTTTATTGAATAGTAGGGTAGGTTAGGACTAAACTAAATAGGTGTATAAAAACAATCATTTTTAAATATATAATTTAAATAATAAATGAAGAATCATAATAACAGGAATAAAAGCTAGTTTTAATATTTGTTATACACAAACATCTATGATTTTTTTCTAAATAAAAACTGTACAGATTTTATCCGTAGGATATGGAATCCTGCACTTTTAAAGGAAGATAGTCAATTTAGAAGAAAACTATGAATAATAAAGTATGAGAATAAGAAGAATGAATAAGAAAAATCAAAATAAGTAGCAGGCCAACGGCTTCATGTAGAAAAAGAGCACAACAGTAACATGTCAGAGAAATGGAATTGGTGAAGACATGCATTGAAAAGAAACAGATTTATTAGGTTTAAAAATTAAATTATACAAAGAAAAATTTAATAAAAAATAAAAAAAAAGTTCTATGTATATTAATGATGCGTCCATGTTTTTCCCATAACACAAAAATATTTTATAGGGTTCTCAAACACCTTCAACTTAATGAAGTTCAATAATGTCTTTATTTAGCAATTCATCTTCAAAATTGTCTCCACTTTGATTTTTCAATTGAATCATTTCAACTATACAGCCACTTTCATTGGCTAAAATTGGAAACTTTCTTCTTTCATACACATTCTGTTACATATCTGGAATTCATTGCACAAAATTTCAGGATGTATTAGTGAATTGTTTTAGTGGACAGTCTGAATGTGAATTTAAAATCTAATCAATAATATATAATTATTCATACACCTGGTTCAAAAAAATAGATGAGTCCATACCTATGGTTCCTATCAATTATACAATATTATCCATACCTGGTTCAAAAAGAAAATATATCCAGGGAGTATCACCAAATTATCAGAATTTAAAATCTCTAAATTCTTTTTTTTTTTGAGAATCATGAGCGGAATGTGACAGCCTAGGTACTATATCACTCCATACTTTTCATTTTGCAATCTTATAATACTTGGCATTTCAAAGAAAACCATCCTTTCCTGTTTCAGAAATCAATAGCATCCATATCTCTTGGAAAACGTTGATTAATCCATTTTTAAACTTTCAAGATGATAAAAACATTTACCTAATGCTAGACCAAGTAAAAGATAGGAGTGAAGAAAAAGGTAGAATTATATAATATTTTATTAACAAATATTTACTATATATTCTCAAATCGTTAAATAAATAATATTTGAAAAAAAAAACATGTAAGAAAGGGAAAAGTAAACAATATTTTAATAAAAACTAGAGTTTTCTGCCTCGAAATTTTATGTTTTTCCTAAAAAAATACATAATATTATTTTCTGTCTTTTATTATAAAATAATAAACTTACCTCTTGTCCATAATAAATTATTACTTGACACACGACTTAATGCAAAGTTCAATTTGGTTCAATAATCAAAAACAAAATAATTATTATCCTTACTTCGCGCCAAATCTACGCAGGTTGGTGATACTGAATCATCGAGCAATAAGACAAAAGAGGGAATCTAATCGTTATGAAAAGGAGACCAAAAAAGTGGCCTCTGATGGCGGACATATCCGGAAATGCAAATGCGCCAAATTTAAATTTCATGACACTTGACAATAATCATACAGTGGTGTAGGGGTTCTAATTTATCTATTTATTTATTTTATATTACATAATATTTTATATTATATATTTATTTATTTATTTATTAAAATACTTTTTTTAACACTAAAACACAATAAAGTTTTAATTAATTAATAACGATAATAGTCTAAAATGTTAAACAATTGTTAAGAAACTTCAATAGAAAATATAAATAAGCTTTCATGTGACATATTTCACATACAATAACATAACCTAACTAAATTTGATTTCTTAAACAAGGAAAGAGATTCTCTTTCCTTGTTTAAAGTGGCCTCTCAAAATAGCACTTCCTGTCTATCAATTTGTTTGCCCCCACTACCTTTACATTCCCTCTTTTGTCTTATTGCTCGATGTACTGAATTCACGTCCAATAAATGGGAAAAATAGAACATGTTCTATTGCGTCAATTTCTTCACGAAGTTATTCATGAATTTATTCACGGCAAAATTGGATGTCAAATTGTGCTTTACACAGGTCAAATTTGACCTTGAAGCGACTTCACGAATTTCTTCATGAATTTATTGTTGGTGTAAAGCCCGTATTAGAGATGTATTGTGAACTATGGTCTGTTTTTTAACCAGGAGGAGTAAACCAAAAAGACAGATTCACACCCAAGAAAGTTACTAGAAAAGTCACCAAATACATCTTCTTTTTATGTTGATTATCTCGGCCTTGCGGTAATCGAGTAATCAATATCGGACAACCTTACACGTCAATTCTAACCTAACTTTATGTTTGAATAATATTTTTTTTAATTCACTTCCAATATATATTACAATTATTAAAATAAAAAAGGACGTTTTTCACATTTGGTCCCATGTATATATATTTAAATATCGGGTGATCCAGTTTTAAAGATTTTTTGAGTCGAGTTTGGTTAATTTAGAGAATATTTTGATCCAGAGAGTCAATAATGTTACAGATCTAAGTATGGTTTTTCTCAGAAATTTGTCTTTTAATTTGCAAATAGATCTTATATGCAACAAAGCTATGCAAATGCATGTATCAAAAAGTTACAGAGAGTTTAAAGATTTCTGAAATACTGTTATTTTAAACTACGTAGACCATATTCTTATTCTGGTGTGATTAATTTCTTGAATCTAGGTTTTTTTTTCTTACCAGAAGAATTAACTTTGACTTTGATCATTATTTTTAAGCTTAATAATCCAATCTCCTGAATTGCTTCAGCCAATTTGTTTTACATATTCCTTCCCATTTACTACTTTAGAATTGACTTTTTCATGTTTCATATCACAGAGTAAATTATGGTTCAAATATAGATGTGGTCCTACTTTTCATGCATGGTAATCAGTTACCTCATTAGATAGATTTAACTTATGTATCAATATCTTAAGGATCTATTTGAAGCACTAAAATGCAAAACAATAAATTTGTATAAATAAGTGTGTACTTGCAATTTCTTTAATGCTGGATTCGTGTTTAATTGTGATAGTGAGTTTGTCCCATTTGTTATCAATAAATAAAATTTACTAAAAAATACTGGATTTCTGTGAGATAATCAACAAATTCAATCTATTATGTTAGATTCTAGTATAATTTTGCAGTTTTCTTGTGATGATCTACAACAGGAAGAACAAAACCAACTGTATTAATACAATCAAAGTAAAACACAACATTACTAATGTTCTTTTATTGTGATGAAAATAAAATGAAAATGCTTCTTAACAAGTATACACTAAATTTAAAAGATAGTTGCCGTTTTTCTTATGAAAA